ACTTTTTTGTTTTTTACCCCCACTTTGTTGCACTTACCTTGGGTCAAAAATAACCCGGCTATGATTTTTTTTTTTTTTTTGAGTTTCTTTGTCACTGAATGATCGAAGGGCTCATTGATCTGAACTCAAGCTCCTCAGTGTTTAAGGTGTAAGTGTACTTTTTTCATTTAAAAAATGAAGTAGATGACAAAACAAGTTGACAAAAAGATTGAATCCAATATTTGTTTATAATTTATAGCATAATGAAAAATTTAAAAGCGATTGAAAAAGACGGGTCATTTTTTTACCTGGAACGCCACAGTAGGTAATAGGTTTTTAGTAGGAATGCACCGAAATTAAAATTCTGGGCCGAAACCGAAACTTCTGGATACACTTGACCGAAATCCTAAACCGAAAATTACTTTAATTTTTTTTTTTTTTTTTTATCTATTTTAAATTCGTTTTTTGGGGGGGGATAATTGTATAATTATTAAACTGTTTAATTAAAATTCAATAATTTAATGAATCTAAAAAAATAAAATCAAGGCAATAAAATAAAATAAACCAATAAAAGAACCACACTTATTTCAAGTTACACAAAAATTGCACAGAAAATAGGCCTATATTAAAATATTAAATATCAATATAAAATTCTTCTTTTAGTTCTACGAAGCAGAATCAGATTTAACAGATTTATTTTTTGACCTATTCTTAAAATAAAGTGGTCCTATAGTAAGGGATCATTTTCGGCTTTCATTTTCTGCCTTTTTTGTCTTTCGGCCAAAAACCCCAAAAAATGCCATTTTGGGCCGATAATTTCCAGCAGCCGAGGTTTGGGTGCATGGCTAGCTTGTCTGCAGAGCACAGGGGTCAGACACTGCAGTCCTCATGTTGTGTGGCTGGTTGGGCTTCACCTGCAGCAGGTCCAGGATGACCACGGGCTGCAACACCTGACTGTAGTGCTGCAGCAGCACAGACTCGCGCAGCGCCGGGCTCGACATCACGTGCAGCAGCAGCGACTCCAGCATGCCCTTACACACCGGCCGGTTCAGCGAGCCGTCCACCACACGCCACGGCCGGCTGACGAACCGCACCGACTCCCAGCTGCTGACAGAGGGACCAACAGGCATTACTGCAGTGCACTGATGACTGCATTACACTACACCCGAGGGTCATGTGATTCACTCACTGTTCATCCGGATCAGCAGCTCCTTCAGCACCATCTGAAACCACAAGCAACACACTGATCAACACTCAAACACATGACAACAAATCAAAGTCAAACCTCTTCAGAGTCCAAACACACACCTCTGATCTGAGAGGGGGCGGAGTCTTTATTAAGCCCCACCCCTTTTACATCTGTCATACGAACCGCCGCCTCCTCCACAGCATCCGTCTGCTCAGCATCAGTCTCCAGAGTTACAGACTGGTCCGTGGAGACAGGATCCATGGCAACCGTCTGATTGACAGCTGTAGTTGTGGAGACAGGATCCATGGCAACAGGATGATTGACAGCTGTGCTCATGGAGACAGGATCCATGGCAACCGTTTGATTGACAGCTGTAGTTGTGGAGGCAACCATCTGATTGACAGCTGTAGTTGTGGAGACAGGATCCATGGCAACCGTTTGATTGACAGCTGTGCTTGTGGAGGCTCCTTCCATGGCAACAGTTTCCTGGAAATCAGATTCCTGGGCCCGTCTCTTGGTAGGTGGGGGTGTGGTGTGGGCGGAGTCATGGGCGGGGCCTCTCTTCAGGAACGGCTGCTGCATCTGCACACCATCACACACGCTCTTCAACAGCCAATGAGACGAAGCCTCCGCACACACCAGCCTCTGAGAGAGAGCGCCCACCTCCACCAGCTGCTCTCCATCCACCAGATCCTACACACACACACACACTCAACTCAAGTGAACTCACGCATTATTTCTCTCTCTCTCTCTCTCTCTCTCACCTGTATGTACTGCTGGAGAGTTCGGCTCCGCCCCTTCTCGGGTTGCTCCAGGTGTATGAAGCGCTCAAGGAGGTCCTGTCTGTCAATGCCAAACTCCGCCCCCTCCCCCACGGCGTCTCTGATCTCCGTCACCGCCTGCACGTCCTGCGCTCCGTAACCCGGCGCGCTCACACACCGCTCCAGGAAGGTCTGCGGATCGACGGCTGCCGAGCGATACACACGCGTGAACCACAGCGGGAGAGACGGAGGAGCGGACGGAGACAGCGCTGAGACACCGTCAGCTACAGGTGACAGAGTCAGGAATGAGAAACCATAATGTTTGAATAATAGATAATGTATGTGTGTGAGTGTGTGTGCGAACCGTCTGCAGTGAAGAGTGTGTTGGGGTGTGTGATCTCAGATCTAGTCTCGTTTAAACTTCATTTAGCCAAGGCTGCAAAGCCGACTCCGTGTTATAAATATGTTAGACCTATCACTTCTACCACTAAAGATTGCTTTATTAATAATCTTCCTGATCAGTTTCATCATCTCAGCATCCCGGATAGCTTAGAAGAACTCGATATTGTGACAGAAACTATTGACAGCACTTTAGACACAGTTGCTCCTTCGCTTAAAGAAGATTAAAGTAAATAGTCCAACGCCGTGGTACAGCGAGCAAAGAAAAAAAAACTAGGGGTTTTTCGCATTTCTTGGAAAGACAGTATTATCGCATACAGAAGGACCTTAAAAACGGCTAGATCTGCTTATTTCTCTTTGCTCTTAGAAGAAAACAAACACAACCAGAGGTATTTATTTGATTCAGTGGCTAACTTAACAAGAAATAAACTCTCGTTTCCAAACAGCACAGCAGTGATGACTTTATGACCTTCTTTACTTGCAAGATTGATAATATCAGGGAGACCCATATCCGTTATCAGTTTGTAGCAGTAAATGAAGAGATGTCTTATCGATCACAAGTTCAGTATGGCGTACCACAAGGCTCAGTACTAGGACCGCTGCTGTTCACTCTGTACATGCTACCATTAGGAGATATCATTAGGAAACATGGAGTTAGCTTTCACTGTTATGCTGATGATACTCAGCTCTATATTTCTTCACGCCCTGACGAAACTCACCAATTCACAAAATTAACGGAAGGCAAAGCTGATATAAAAAACTAGATGACTAGTAATTTCCTACTACTAAATTCTAAAAAAAAAGGTTTCTAATTATGGGACAAAAAAAAACTCTGCATGTAGTAAGCTAGAATACTGTCTAACATGAAAGCCAAATTTCTAGCATCTGTAAAACCCTCTGCAGTGAAGAGAGTGTGTTGGGGTGTGTGTGTGTGTGTGTGTGTGTGTGTGTGTGTGTGTGTGTGTGTGTGTGTGTGTGAGCGCACCCTCTGCAGTGAAGAGTATGTGTGTGTGAGCGCACCCTCTGCAGTGAAGAGTGTGTGTGTGTGTGTGTGTGAGCGCACCCTCTGCAGTGAAGAGTGTGTTGGGGTGTGTGTGTGTGTGTGTGTGTGAGCGCACCCTCTGCAGTGAAGAGTGTGTTGGGGTGTGTGTGTGTGTGAGCGCACCCTCTGCAGTGAAGAGTGTGTTGGGGTGTGTGTGTGTGTGAGCGCACCCTCTGCAGTGAAGAGTGTGTGTGTGTGTGTGTGTGTGTGTGAGCGCACCCTCTGCAGTGAAGAGTGTGTGTGTGTGTGTGTGTGTGTGTGTGAGCGCACCCTCTGCAGTGAAGAGTGTGTTGGGGTGTGTGTGTGTGTGTGTGTGTGAGCGCACCCTCTGCAGTGAAGAGTGTGTTGGGGTGTGTGTGTGTGTGAGCGCACCCTCTGCAGTGAAGAGTGTGTGTGTGTGTGTGTGTGTGTGTGTGAGCGCACCCTCTGCAGTGAAGAGTGTGTGTGTGTGAGCGCACCCTCTGCAGTGAAGAGTGTGTGTTGGGGTGTGTGTGTGTGAGCGCACCCTCTGCAGTGAAGAGTGTGTGTGTGTGTGTGTGTGTGAGCGCACCCTCTGCAGTGAAGAGTGTGTGTGTGTGTGTGTGTGTGTGAGCGCACCCTCTGCAGTGAAGAGTGTGTGTGTGTGAGCGCACCCTCTGCAGTGAAGAGTGTGTGTGTGTGTGTGTGTGTGAGCGCACCCTCTGCAGTGAAGAGTGTGTGTGTGTGAGCGCACCCTCTGCAGTGAAGAGTGTGTGTTGGGGTGTGCGTCTCAGCTGCAGGTGGACGGTGCAGGCGTTGACCATGATGTTGTCGGTGCTGTTGGAGTTGAGTGTGTTCTGCGAGCGCAGGATCCCGGGAGCGTAGTATCCCCTCATCAGCAGGTAGTTGGTGTGAGACGCCTGTGTGGGCTTGACCTCCGGCCTCCTCTTCCTCTCGTCCTCCTCCTCGTCCTCCTCCAGCGCTTTCGTGAGGCTGAAACACACACACACACACACACACACACACACACACACACACGTCAGCTGTGAGAGTGTTGAGGGACGATAACTATAACTGAAGTTTTAATGATCGCTCTAAGAGAACAGCAAAGTCCACAACGCAACTATAACAATCACAACAGATGAACGATAACACTCTTTCAGAGTGATGTTTTTCCAGCGGATGAACGATAAAAATATTGACAGCCAATCAGAATCCATCCTGCTTCCTGCATCCAGATGATAAAACGCTTATAATAACACAGGTATCACAGTTGTCGTTGTAACTATGATTAGTTATTGTTACAGTTATTGTCTGATGGTGTGAACGCTAATATAGCTCTGGTGTGCTGGTGCTGAACAGGTCATTAGCGTGTGTGTGTATCTGTGTGTGTGTATCTGAGCGCAGCACCTCTTGACCACCTCGTTGTCCACCAGCGAACTGTCCACCACCACGATCTGCTGCGGGACGCTGAGGTCCAGGGTCAGCAGGCCCAGGGTCATGAGGGTCAGGCAGCAGGCGCTGGCGCCCCCTGGAGCGTCCATTGGGAACTGCAGCATGCCCTGCGGGTGGGGCTCCTGCTCCTCGGCCCCCGGGCCCTCGGGGTCCTTCTGGAAGTGGAAGCTGCTGGGTCTGTCACTGCGGTCGCCCTCATATAAGCCCGTCATCAGATCGAACGCCTCGTTAAAGACCAGGCTCGGGAAACGCCACGTGAAGAACCTGCAGCACACGGACCGACCTTAGAGGTGCAACTTTCACTCCAATAAAGCATGTAGTAGTGCTGGGACAGCTGGTAGGACATGGGCAGGTGTGTGTGTGTGTGTGTGTGTGTGTGTGTGTGTGTGTGAGACCTGTAGTAGTGCTGGGACAGCTGGTAGGACATGGGCAGGTGTGTGTGTGTGTGTGTGTGTGTGTGTGTGTGTGTGTGAGACCTGTAGTAGTGCTGGGACAGCTGGTAGGACATGGGCAGGTGTGTGTGTGTGTGTGTGTGTGTGTGTGAGACCTGTAGTAGTGCTGGGACAGCTGGTAGGACATGGGCAGGAAGGGCAGCGAGTGGCACTTCTTCAGGTGGGCTTTGGTGATGGGCCGCCGCCGGTTCACTAGCGCCCGGTTACGACACGTCTGGAAGGCCTGGGACAAAACCTCCTCGCTGTAGCGCGTGTACAGACAGAACGTCTAGAACACACACACACGATCACTGACACGTCACTCATACATGAACACAGTATACACTGTGTGTGTGTGTGTGTGTGTGTGTGTGTGTACCTGGAAGGGTCGGTAGTTCTTCATCTGAGCGTTTGTGAGCACTAGCGTGCTCTGAATTAAATTAAACAGCACCAGAACATCAATGTCCTCCTTCCTGAAACACACAGTCATTACAGTCCAACATCCAAACACAAACTCCACTGGCCAAACCATCAGACAATGCTTAACAGACACTGATGTGTTTTCACTCTCCTGGAACTTTCTTGCATTACTCTGCATTTTTATTCATATTAATAATGATAATAAGAATAGTGTTTGATTTATAGTATCTTGCAGGATTTAAACATAAAATTGTGTCAGTTTGTTCAGTAAAATTTAATAGCGTGACGTTATTACACACACACCTCTTCAAGATGTCTATAGTGCGCTCAAGTGATTCGTCGATTGTGTACACCTTAAACCTGAGGAAACACACACACACACACACACACACACACACACACGTAAGACTGAAAGGCTCATCTGCAGAGAATAAGATTCAGTGTTCTTATTGTTAACTAAAAAATAAATAAGTAATTGAAATAAAAAATATATATAAATTTATTTATTTATATATATATATATATATATATATATATATATATATATATATATATATATATATATATATATATATATACATATAAAATGAAAACCAGAAATGTTGCATTGGCAACTAACTGATTTATGTAATAAAACTACTAAAACTGAAACAAAAATAAAGCTATATAGAAGCATACATTAAAACGCCTAAAAATGATAAAAGCACTAACATTACTCAATTAAAATTCTCAAATATAAAAATAATATAAAATCAAAATAATAATAAAAATATAAAAATAAAAGCTAATTTGGAATATGAATAAAAACTGTAATACTAAAATAACATGGGTGTGTGTGTACTTGTGAAAGAGCTCGTCTCGCGTGTCAGGTATGATGACATCACTGGAGCCGTAGCTGGAGCTGAACTTTAACCTCAGAGAGCGTACAAACTCCTTATACTCCTCAGCACACACCTGTAACACACACACACACAATTAGATACGACTCATGCAGTCACAATCCAATTTAAATTTTTTACTGGAGAAGCGAAATGACTGAAGATATTAAAGTCTTGTTTTCTGACAAATCTATCAAAATGAACCGAGTTTGTGCTAAAACAAGAACAAATATCTGTCAAAGGAGTCAGAAAAATACTCTTTATTCAAAGGGAAAACAAGATTATTTTTCTGACCACAATTGCAGTTTTACAGTGTAGAAACTAAAGATTTCTTAGACCCATTTATCCAAAAAATCTAAAAACGATTTCAGATTAATACAGGTCAGATTAAAACGACATTAAAAATCTTAAAAAACAGAATTGATTCAGAATCATTGAAGAATCGCGTCTCACCTTCACATCGTTGTAGTCGTCAGTTCGGTTCAGGAATTTGGCCATCAGCTCTTTATCCTGATACATCTCAGCCAGACAAATCCTACAAAACAGCCATCAGATTTACACTGAGCTCCATTACTCTAAAGCCAGACGCAGTGTGTGTCAGCCTGCATTATAAAGAGCAGTGTGAGTGTGTGAGAGAGTGTATTTGTACACACACCTGTAGTTCAGGCAGGTCTGCGGGTTCTTCATGATGTAGCGTGAGCGTCGGCTGACAGACAGAGAGGTTTTATCCAGCGATAACTCAAACTCAGCATGCAGCACGTCACGAACCACTGTCCAGGGCACGAACGGCCTCTTCAGCTACACACACACACCATATAAATACACCCATTCAGAAACATGGTTTATCCCATCACTGTTATCATCTAGCCACTGGAGTGCCTCAGGGCTCAGTGCTGGGACCGCTTCTCTTCTCCATCTACATGTCATCACTAGTGTCTGTCATTCAGAAACATGGTTTATCCCATCACTGTTATCATCTAGCTACTGGAGTGCCTCAGGGCTCAGTACTGGGACTGCTTCTCTTCTCCATCTACATGTCATCACTAGGATCTGTCATTCAGAAACATGGTTTATCCCATCACTGTTATCATCTATCTACTGGAGTGCCTCAGGGCTCAGTACTGGGACTGCTTCTCTTCTCCATCTACATGTCATCACTAGGATCTGTCATTCAGAAACATGGTTTATCCCATCACTGTTATCATCTAGCCACTGGAGTGCCTCAGGGCTCAGTGCTGGGACCGCTTCTCTTCTCCATCTACATGTCATCACTAGTGTCTGTCATTCAGAAACATGGTTTATCCCATCACTGTTATCATCTAGCTACTGGAGTGCCTCAGGGCTCAGTACTGGGACTGCTTCTCTTCTCCATCTACATGTCATCACTAGTGTCTGTCATTCAGAAACATGGTTTATCCCATCACTGTTATCATCTAGCTACTGGAGTGCCTCAGGGCTCAGTGCTGGGACTGCTTCTCTTCTCCATCTACATGTCATCACTAGGATCTGTCATTCAGAAACATGGTTTATCCCATCACTGTTATCATCTATCTACTGGAGTGCCTCAGGGCTCAGTGCTGGGACCGCTTCTCTTCTCCATCTACAAGTCCTCACTAGGATCTGTCATTCAGAAACATGGTTTATCCCATCACTGTTATCATCTAGCTACTGGAGTGCCTCAGGGCTCAGTGCTGGGACTGCTTCTCTTCTCCATCTACATGTTATCACTAGTGTCTGTCATTCAGAAACATGGTTTATCCCATCACTGTTATCATCTAGCTACTGGAGTGCCTCAGGGCTCAGTGCTGGGACCGCTTCTCTTCTCCATCTACAAGTCCTCACTAGGATCTGTCATTCAGAAACATGGTTTATCCCATCACTGTTATCATCTAGCTACTGGAGTGCCTCAGGGCTCAGTGCTGGGACTGCTTCTCTTCTCCATCTACATGTCATCACTAGGATCTGTCATTCAGAAACATGGTTTATCCCATCACTGTTATCATCTAGCTACTGGAGTGCCTCAGGGCTCAGTGCTGGGACTGCTTCTCTTCTCCATCTACATGTCATCACTAGGATCTGTCATTCAGAAACATGGTTTATCCCATCACTGTTATCATCTAGCTACTGGAGTGCCTCAGGGCTCAGTGCTGGGACTGCTTCTCTTCTCCATCTACAAGTCCTCACTAGGATCTGTCATTCAGAAACATGGTTTATCCCATCACTGTTATCATCTAGCTACTGGAGTGCCTCAGGGCTCAGTGCTGGGACTGCTTCTCTTCTCCATCTACATGTCATCACTAGGATCTGTCATTCAGAAACATGGTTTATCCCATCACTGTTATCATCTAGCTAATGGAGTGCCTCAGGGCTCAGTGCTGGGACTGCTTCTCTTCTCCATCTACATGTCATCACTAGTGTCTGTCATTCAGAAACATGGTTTATACCATCACTGTTATCATCTAGCTACTGGAGTGCCTCAGGGCTCAGTGCTGGGACCGCTCTCTTCTCCATCTACATGTCATCACTAGTGTCTGTCATTCAGAAACATGGTTTATCCCATCACTGTTATCATCTAGCTACTGGAGTGCCTCAGGGCTCAGTGCTGGGGCCACTTCTCTTCTCCATCTACATGTCATCACTAGGATCTGTCATTCAGAAACAAGGCTTTTCCCATCACTGTTACGCTGACAAAACACACAACTCTACCTTTCATTCCAGCCAGAGGATCTGACGGGAGCAGCTTGACCTGCCTGACAGACATTTCTTTCTGGATGAAGGACCATCACATTCAACTAAACCTTGTGAAGACAGAACTGCTTGTGGTCTCGATCAACCCAACACTTCAGCACCCTGTTGGGGCCAGTCGCGTTTCCACTTTCATATTGAGATAGTGTTTAATGATGTCGTCACAGAAAACAGGTAATCAACAAACATTTTTCGTGTTAACGAACACTAGTGTATGTGTGTGTGCGCGGGTACCTTGCGGTTGAGGAAGTGGCTGGCGACGCGGCACAGCATCAGGAGACTGTCCTCCATGTGTGTCCACGCCACTCTCTGCCTGGTCATCTGTAGAAGAGCACGCTGGTCCGTCTCGTCCTGGGCCTGACTCTGCCTGCTCGCTCGCACTGACACACACACACACACACACACACACGTCCCGATGAGCTACATGACATCACCACCGTTTAATACATCAACGTTCTGTCAGCGCCAGTACCTTTCTTCTTCTTGCGTGCCGGTTTGCTGCTGTCTGTCTTGGGTCTCTTGCGTTTGAGGTTTCGTCCTCCACACACCTCCTGGTTTCTGCTGGCCGGCTGCGAGCTCAGACGCACCTCCTCCTCCAGGACAGCAGGGGGCGCCACCTTCGCCCCTGAACACCCCACAGAGACTCATAATCGGATATAACACCAGGGCTGTGTCTGAAATCTCCCCCTATACCCTTAAATAGGGCACTATTTGAGGGGACAGCCATTTGTAGTGGTGTCCGAAACCGTGGACATTACTATGGAACAGCACAAACTATGGAAAAGCTGCAGGGCTTCTGATGCACTCATTGTCCGAATTAACTCACTCGTTTTCATCCACTCCTTCAGTGGACTAATGTAGGGAATAGTGAACCTATTAGTGAATGAGGGTATAGGGGGCGATTTCGAACACAGCACAGCTTAGATGGCTTAATGCTTTGATTGGCCAATGGGGCTTTCGCACCGGATAGTTATAGGAACGAGCCTCCAGGGTGGTTCCCCGAGAACTAATGGTTCCCATAGGAATGTTTTCCTGGTTGCGTTCGCACCGCTAGTAGGAACTCTGAAGTGAAGAAGAAACGCTTGTTACTGTGACTTATTTTGACGGCGGTGAGCACGCCTGTGCTCGCATTCTCATTCTCCGTTCATTAGTTTCCGATCTGTCTAACAGTCCTGTCTAATACGTTATTATATAGAACTAGACAGTAATAAAAAAGTATTAGTGTTTGCCGTGTGGTTGATGTCCAGTGTTGCTGAGCAGAAATACATAATCATGCTTCTCTTGTTCCCTTCAAAGCTGTGTTGGGTTTTCTCCTCAGTGTAAAGATTAAGAGGCTCATCTATCACTGTTTTACATGTTCGTAGAGTTAGATTGTGGAGTAAATATATAGGCTATAATCTGTGTTTACACAGCTTTTTTTTTTAAATGGCGGGTTCTGGTGTTTCACGCCAATCAGCGAACACCAACGTCACTGACAGTTCCTATAGCGCTGGGTTAGACCGACTCTGAAGTAGGAGTAAATTAGTTCCCCCAAAAGGAGTTCCTAGAACTAAAATCATTCCTAGTTCCTGCGGTGCGAACACGCCAAAACCGGAAACTTCCACCAATAGTTCTAGGAACTATGAAGAGGTTCCTCCGGTGAAAAAGCCCCTATTCACAGCACGGCAACAGTTCTGAATGTGTGTGTGTGTGTTACCAGTGAGCGTAGCCGGTTTGGGCGGAGGGTGTTTGGACAGCAGGTTCCTCAGTCTGACGGTGTGATGTGTTCCTGAATCTTCAGTGCTCTGACAACATCGCAAAGACATTAACACACAGCGCAACAGTGCTGACATCACACACGTGTGTGTGTGTGTGTGTGTGTGTGTGTGTATACCTGTTTGTTTTGGTTGATCAGGTGACTGGTCCACGTCCAGTTGCGTTTCAGGTGGCTGAAAAAGCAGGAGTCCAGTCCGCCAGCGCCCTGCCCGTCGCCGGGGGTAACCCCATCATCCACCACGTCACAACTGCCCCTAGCAACCGGAAACACAAGCAAATGTGACATCAGCCAATCAGGTGACAGACTATACAGCCTGAGCCAATCAGAACGGCTGACTCACTGTAGAGTGTACAGCAGCCTGGTATTGCGCTCCATTGTCATGGCGACGTCAGACTCCGCCCCCTCAGCATTATCACCAGGGCGCGGCCGGATTACTCCTGAAACACACATTTGTGGTTACAGTACGGTTGTTCTATTCGGGCTGAGGGTTTGGCGCAGTAATGTTGAGGTAGTGTTGCAGTGATGTTGCAGTAATGTCGCAGTAATGTTGCGGTAGTGTTGCAGTGATGTTGTGGTAGTGTTGTGTTTAGCTTGAGGGTCTGGCTCAGTAATGTTGCAGTGATGTTGCGGTAGTGTTGTGTTTAGCTTGAGGGTCTGGCTCAGTAATGTTGCAGTAATGTTGCGGTAGTGTTGCGGTAGTGTTGCAGTGATGTTGCGGTAGTGTTGTGTTTAGCTTGAGGGTCTGGCTCAGTAATGTTGCAGTGATGTTGCGGTAGTGTTGCAGTGATGTTGCGGTAGTGTTGCGGTAGTGTTGTGTTTAGCTTGAGGGTTTGGCGCAGTAATGTTATGGTAGAGTTGTGGTAGTGTTGTGTTCAGCTTTAGGGTTTGGCTCAGAAGTGTTGCGGTAGGTTTGCGGTATTGTTGTGTTTAGCTTGATGGTTTGGCTCAGTAGTGTTGCACTAATGTTGCGGTAGTGTTTTGGTAGTGTTGTGTTTAGCTTGAGGGTTTGGCGCAGTAATGTTATGGTAGAGTTGTGGTAGTGTTGTGTTTAGCTTGAGGGTTTGGCTCAGTAGTGTTGCGGTAGTGTTGCGGTAGTGTTGTGTTTAGCTTGAGGGTTTGGCTCAGTAGTGTTGCAGTAATGTTGCGTTAGTGTTGTGGTAGTGTTGTGTTTAGCTTGAGGGTTTGGCTCAGTAGTGTTGCGGTAGTGTTGTGTTTAGCTTGAGGGTCTGGCTCAGTAATGTTGCAGTGATGTTGCGGTAGTGTTGCAGTGATGTTGCGGTAGTGTTGCGGTAGTGTTGTGTTTAGCTTGAGGGTTTGGCGCAGTAATGTTATGGTAGAGTTGTGTTTAGCTTGAGGGTTTGGCTCAGTAGTGGTAAATGGTAAATGGACTGCATTTATATAGCGCTTTCACAGACCCAATGGCCACCAAAGCGCTTTACAATTTGCCTCACATTCACCCATTCATACACTCATTCACACACCGACGGCGGTGTCAGCCATACAAGGCGCCATCCAGCTCGTCGGGAGCAGCTGGGGTTAGGTGTCTTGCTCATGGACACCTCGACAATTGGTCAGGTGGAACCGAAGATTGAACCACCAACCTTCCAGTTTGTAGACAACCTACATGAACCACTGAGCCACTGCCACCCTTTAGTAGTGTTGCAGTAATGTTGCGGTAGTGTTGTGTTTAGCTTGAGGGTTTGGCTCAGTAATGTCGCAGTAATGTTGCGGTAGTGTTGCGGTAGTGCTGCAGTAATGTTGCGGTAGTGTTGCGGTAGTGCTGCAGTAATGTTGCGGTAGTGTTGCGGTAGTGCTGCAGTAATGTTGCGGTAGTGTTGCGGTAGTGCTGCAGTAATGTTGCGGTAGTGTTGCGGTAGTGCTGCAGTAATGTTGCGGTAGTGTTGTGTTTAGCTTGAGGGTTTGGCTCAGTAATGTCGCAGTAGTGTTGCAGTAATGTTGCGGTAGTGTTGTGTTTAGCTTGAGGTTTTGGCTCAGTAATGTCGCGGTAGTGTCGCGGTAGTGTTGCGGTAGTGTTGCGGTAGTGTTGTGTTTAGCTTGAGGTTTTGGCTCAGTAATGTCGCAGTAATGTTGCGGTAGTGTTGCGGTAGTGTTGTGTTTAGCTTGAGGTTTTGGCTCAGTAATGTCACAGTAATGTTGCGGTAGTGTTGCGGTAGTGTTGTGTTTAGGCTATTCCAAGCTTTCATAGCAGCTGAATGAACCAACCATCGTAACTCTGACTTCACACCCATGAGTGATACCGCAGGTTGTGTGTCTGTACCTAGAGGTGTGTTGAGACACACACACAGCAGGTCGAACCAGTAGTTCTCCACGTCCTGAGCGCTGCTGAACACGTAGTGTCTCCGCTCAAACGCACGCATCGTCTCGATGGCCATGTTATAGTGCGGGTCGCACACCGTCGTGTCCACGATTTTAGCCTTCGTCTTCAGGAACACAAACACCTAATACAAACATGAATGTATTCTTGATATAACACACACAATAAACATTACCTGAAGAGATCATGTGACTGTGCCCTCCTGCTCACCTGATCTTTATCCATGAACTTCTCCGTGGGCCCGAACTGCAGCAAACCCATGAAACACAACCTCTGGAGACTCTCGTGGAAACTGAAGATGTACTTCCTGTGTGAGGGACATCATCATCATCACAACACTTAAAGACAATCAGCATCTGACTGTGTGTGTGTGTGTGTGTGTGTGTGTGTGTGTGTGTGTGTGTGAGTGAGAGAGAGAGAGAGAGAGAGAGAGAGAGAGAGAGTGTGAGTGTGTGTGAGAGAGAGAGAAAGAGTGTGTGTGAGAGAGGGAGAGAGAGAGAGGGAGTGTGTGTGTGTGTGTGTGTGTGTGTGTGTGTGTGTGTGTGTGTGTGTGTGTGTTTGCCTCCTGTGCAGCAGATGTCTCTTTATATCAGCAGGGAGGAATCTGATCAGATAATGTTTCTTCACTGGATCATTCAGGTACTCCTCCAAACCTGCAACCTGAACACAACACAACATTACTGATTCATTACATTATGATTCAAAATATTACTTTTATTTTATCATCGTTCAAGTTCAAACAAATCAATAAATAAATATATCACTATTGTACAGTAAAATAAAAACAGGACACGCCCCATCCGGTCGCTAACGGTCGCTGTCGCGCGTGTAAAATCGCGCCGGATATCGCCCACTCCCCATTGAAATGAACGGTATCGTGTCGCTTTGTCACTTGTAGTGTGAACGGGGCTTAACAGATGATGGGACGCGGGTGCTCTCTAACTCACAGGTGTGTGTGTGTGTGTGTGTGTGTGTGTGTGTGTGTGTGTGTGTGTACCTGATAGTTGACCTGCACGACCTGCATGAACACGCTGAGTGGCAGCGACACCAGAACATCACTGATGAGGGCCCATCCGAACCCGAAGTCTTTATGCAGCGGGATGGGGGGGATGAACCTCTTCCAGGTGTTCTCCTTCACGAACACTACACACACACACACACACACACACACACGTGTTTGAGAGTGTCAGTCTCCAGGTAGGGCTGTGTGTTGGCAGGATTGGATCACCCACACACACACACACACACACACACACGCACACACACGCGCACACACGCGCACACACGCACACCTCTGAACCCCTCAGTCTCGGGGTCAGTCAGGTCGGTCTCCGGGTCGGCAGGATTGGATCACACACACACACACACACACACACACTGACCTCTGAACCCCTCAGTCTCGGGGTCGGCAGGATTGGATCATACACACACACACACACACACACACACTGACCTCTGAACCCCTCAGTCTCTGGGTCGGCAGGATTGGATCACACACACACACACTGACCTCTGAACCCCTCAGTCTCCGGGTCGGCAGGATTGGATCATACACACACACACACACACACACACACACACACACACACACACTGACCTCTGAACCCCTCAGTCTCTGGGTCGGCAGGATTGGATCATACACACACACACACACACACACACACACTGACCTCTGAACCCCTCAGTCTCGGGGTCGGCAGGATTGGATCATACACACACACACACACACACACACACACACACACACACACACACACACACACCTCTGAACCCCTCAATCTCCGGGTTGGTCTCCGGGTCGGCAGGATTGGATCACACACACACACACACTGACCTCTGAACCCCTCAGTCTCCGGGTCGGCAGGATTGGATCACACACACACACACTGACCGCTGAACCCCTCAATCTCCGGGTTGGTCTCCGGGTCGGCAGGATTGGATCACACACACACACACACTGACCTCTGAACCCCTCAGTCTCCGGGTCGGTCTCCGGGTCGGCAGGATTGGATCATACACACACACACACTGACCTCTGAACCCCTCAGTCTCCGGGTCGGCAGGATTGGATCATACACACACACACACTGACCTCTGAACCCCTCAGTCTCCGGGTCGGTCTCCGGGTCGGGAAGCGGGTCGGCAGGATTGGATCTTCTGATTGGATGGCCGTAGATCAGGAACCACAGGAAGGAGTGGACGATACGCAGACGAGGCATCTTGGGCTGGAACCCCATCGAGCGCCCGAGCCCTGGAACTGAGACACACAATATGAGGCGCTCAGATGTGATGTGTGTGTGTGTGTGTACCGAGCACGGGTCTGAAGGATTTGAGTGTTGTGTGTGAGTGTGTGTGTGTGTGTGTGTGTGTGTGTGTGTGTGTGTGTGTGTGTGTGTGTGTGTGTGTGTGTGTGTACCGAGCACGGGTCTGAAGGATTTGAGTGTTGTGTGTGAGTGTGTGTGTGTGTGTGTGTGTGTGTGTGTGTGTGTGTGTGTGTGTGTGTACCGAGCACAGGTCTGAAGGATTTGAGTGTTGTGTGTGTGTGTGTGTACCGAGCGCGGGTCTGAGGGATTTGAGTGTTGTGTGTGTTAGTGTGTGTGTGTGTGTGTGTCTGTGTGTACCGAGCACGGGTCTGAAGGATTTGAGTGTTGTGACGCCCATCTTCTCGGACACCTTCTTCGAGCCGCTGCTGTGAGACGGGCGTGTGTGTGTGTACCGAGCACAGGTCTGAAGGATTTGAGTGTTGTGTGTGTGTGTGTGTGTGTGTACCGAGCACAGGTCTGAAGGATTTGAGTTGTGTGCGAGTGTGTGTGTGTGTGTGTGTGTGAGTGTGTGTGTGTGTGTGTGTGTACCGAGCACGGGTCTGAAGGATTTGAGTTGTGTGTGAGTGTGTGTGTGTGAGTGTGTGTGTGTGTGAGTGTGTGTGTGTGTGTGTGTGTGTGTGTGTGTGTACCGAGCACAGGTCTGAAGGATTTGAGTTGTGTGTGAGTGTGTGTGTGTGTGTGAGTGTGAGTGTGTGTGTGTGTGTGTGTGTGTGTGTGTGTGTACCGAGCACGGGTCTGAAGGATTTGAGTTGTGTGTGAGTGTGTGTGTGTGTGTGAGTGTGTGTGTGTGTGTGTACCGAGCACAGGTCTGAAGGATTTGAGTTGTGTGTGAGTGTGTGTGTGTGTGTGAGTGTGTGTGTGTGTGTGTGTGTGTGTGTGTACCGAGCACAGGTCTGAAGGATTTGAGTTGTGTGTGAGTGTGTGTGTGTGTGTGTGTGTGAGTGTGTGTACCGAGCACAGGTCTGAAGGATTTGAGTTGTGTGTGAGTGTGTGTGTGTGTGTGTGTGTGTGTGTGTGTGTGTGTGTGTGTGTGTGTGTGTGTGTGTGTACCGAGCACGGGTCTGAAGGATTTGAGTGTTGTGACGCCCATCTTCTCGGACACCTTCTTCGAGCCGCTGCTGTGAGACGGGCGTGTGTGTGACGCTTTGTTCTCCTTCTTCTCCTGTGCGCTGGACTTCACTTTCTCTGCCTGAGACTCAACGCTGAGAAAGACAACAATCAAAATACACACGCAAACAAAAGTTAGAGGACGTTTGTTAATGTTTTTGAAAGAAATCTCTTCTTGTTTTATTAGAATAGAATCTTTTGTAACATTATAAATGTCTGTCACTTTGATCAGTTTAATGCGTCCTTGATGAACAACAGTGTTGATTACTCCAATGACTGTAGTGAAGCAGACGTCAGGTGAGTGAGTGTGTGTGTGTGTGTGTACTCACCGAGCTGCAGAGGTCAGGTGAGTGAGTGTGTGTGTGTGTGTGTGTGTGTGTGTGTGTGTGTGTGCTCACCGAGCTGCAGAGGTCAGGTGTGTGTGTGTGTGTGTGTGTGTGTGTACTCACCGAGCTGCAGAGGTCAGGTAGGTGTGTGTGTGTGTGTGTGTGTGTGTGTGTGTGTGTGTGTGTGTGTGTACTCACCGAGCTGCAGAGGCCGAGCTGGACATGCGCATGCGGATCTGCTCTATCGCACTCTTGAGCAGCGGATCGTCAGGCGTAACAGAGGGATGAACCACGAACTCAACCTGAGACACAAGAGTGTGTTAGCAGAGGTGTGTGTGAATGTGTGTGTGTGTGTGTGTGTGTGCGCGCACCTTCTTCTGCACTCCGTCCTGTATGACGATGGTCCTGTAGAGTTTGAGTAAGCCCTCTCGAGACAGCGAGCGGATCAGCCTCACCACACTCTTCTTACACACTTTAGTGCTCACGCCATCCTTCCTCTCCTCCTCCGTCAGCAGCTTCTGCAGCCTGACACACACACACACACACACACACACACACACACGTGTTCATCTGACGCGCCACAGCGCTGAGCGCTCATCACGAGAGAGAGAGGCTTACGAGTAGAAGCCCTCGATGATCTTGCTGCAGCGGACGGCCTCGATGATCGTGTTCTTGCGCTTCAGCAGGCGATACGTCTCGTGAATCTCCACCTTCTTCGTCTTCTGCGGAGAAACACCATCATCACACGAGAATCATTTAACACTTTTTATCGTTCACAATTACCCTAATAGTTATCGTTACAGTTATTATCATTAACACAACTGTCGTTATAGTCATCGCTAAAGTTATCATTAAAGTTACTGTTATCATTATCATACTCCTCGTTATTGTTATCCTTACAGTTATCATTATCGTAACTATCGTTACAGTTATCATTATCGTAACTATCGTTATAGTTATCGTTACAGTTATCATTATCATACTCGTTGTTGTTATCGTTACAGTTATCATTATCATACTCGTTATAGTTATCGTTACAGTTATCATTATCGTAACTATCGTTATAGTTATCGTTATAGTTATCGCTATCGCAACTATCGTTACAGTTATCATTATCGTAACTATCGTGGTTATAGTTATCGTTACAGTTATCATTATAGTAACTATCGGTATAGTTATTACAGTTATCATTATCGTAACTATCGGTATAGTTATTACAGTTATCATTATCGTAACTATCGTTATAGTTATCGTTACAGTTATCATTATCGTAACTATCGTTATAGTTATCGTTACAGTTATCATTATCGTAACTATCGGTATAGTTATTACAGTTATCATTATCGTAACTATCGGTATAGTTATTACAGTTATCATTATCGTAACTATCGTTATAGTTATCGTTACAGTTATCATTATCGTAACTATCGTTATAGTTATCGTTACAGTTATCATTATCGTAACTATCGGTATAGTTATTACAGTTATCATTATCGTAACTATCGTTATAGTTATCGTTACAGTTATCATTATCGTAACTACCGGTATAGTTATTACAGTTATCATTATCGTAACTATCGGTATAGTTATTACAGTTATCATTATCGTAACTATCGTTATAGTTATCGTTACAGTTATCATTATCATACTCGTTATAGTTATCGTTACAGTTATCGCTATCGTAACTATCGTTATAGTTATCATTATCATACTCGTTAGTTATCGTTACAGTTATCATTATCGTAACGATCATTATAGTTATCGTTACAGTTATCGCTATCGTAACTATCGTTATAGTTATCGTTACAGTTATCATTATCGTAACTATCGTTACAGTTATCGTTACAGTTATTGCTATCGTAACTATCGTTATAGTTATCGTTACAGTTATCATTATCATACTCGTTATAGTTATCGTTACAGTTATCATTATCGTAACGATCGTTATAGTTATCGTTACAGTTATCATTATCATACTCGTTATAGTTATCGTTACAGTTATCATTATCGTAACTATCGGTATAGTTATCGTTACAGTTATCATTACCGTAATAATCGGTATAGTTATCGTTACAGTTATCGTTACAGTTATCATTATCATACTCGTTATAGTTATCGTTACAGTTATCATTATCGTAACTATCGGTATAGTTATTACAGTTATCATTATCGTAACTATCGTTGCAGTTATCATTATCGTAACTATCGTTATAGTTATCTTACAGTTATCATTATCGTAACTATCGGTATAGTTATCGTTAGTTATCATTACCGTAATAATCGGTATAGTTATCGTCACAGTTATCGCTATCGTAACTATCGTTATAGTTATCGTTACAGTTATCATTATCATACTCGTTATAGTTATCGTTACAGTTATCATTATAGTAACGATCGTTATAGTTATCGTTACAGTTATCATTATCATACTCGTTATAGTTATCGTTACAGTTATCATTATCGTAACGATCGTTATAGTTATCGTTACAGTTATCGCTATCGTAACTATCGTTATAGTTATCGTTACAGTTATCATTATCATACTCGTTATAGTTATCGTTACAGTTATCATTATAGTAACTATCGTTATAGTTATCGTTACAGTTATCATTATCATACTCGTTATAGTTATCGTTACAGTTATCATTATCGTAACTATCGTTACAGTTATCGTTACGGTTATCATTATCATACTCGTTATAGTTATCGTTACAGTTATCATTATCGTAACTATCGGTATAGTTATCGTTACAGTTATCAGTATCGTAACTATCGGTATAGTTATCGTTACAGTTATCATTATCGTAACTATCAGTATAGTTATTACAGTTATCATTATCGTAACTATCGTTACAGTTATCATTATCGTAACTATCGTTATAGTTATCGTTACAGTTATCATTATCGTAACTATCGGTATAGTTATCGTTAGTTATCATTACCGTAATAATCGGTATAGTTATCGTTACAGTTATCATTATCGTAACTATCGTTATAGTTATTACAGTTATCATTATCGTAACTATCGTTATAGTTATTACAGTTATCATTATCGTAACTATCGTTATAGTTATTGTTACAGTTATCATTACCGTAATAATCGGTATAGTTATCGTTACAGTTATCATTATCGTAACTATCGTTATAGTTATTACAGTTATCATTATCGTAACTATCGTTATAGTTATTGTTACAGTTATCATTATCGTAACTATCGGTATAGTTATCGGTACAGTTATCATTATCGTAACTATCGTTATAGTTAACATGACAATATTTTATTGTTATGGTTAACATCGTTGTTATCCTGAACCCACACTGACCTCCGTCAGCACCTCCACGATCACCGGCAGCGGTTCCTCTGCGTGCTGTGATTGGCTGGCGCTTGTGCTGGGGGCGTGGCCAGCTTCCTCTGTGTTCTGTCCAACTGCAGTCTTCTGAGAGGCTTTAGCCCCGCCCCCTCGCGCAGACGGCTTCTCTGCACACAAACACGCGTGACAACCAAACTTATATCAGTATGTGCCAGAGGCCCGAACCCGACCCGAGCCGACGGAGAACTCAGGGGTTACCGTTTAATGAACAGCCTCGGGTTCGGAAGTAAGGAAAACTATGTAGCTTTATATGCCGTGTGCTAGCGGTGTTGTGACCGCTAATACGAGCACGCGCGAGAGGAAGTAGTGCGCAGTTTCAGCCGTCCTCCTCTGACTGCTGTTGAGGCTGACATACTGCGCGCGGCACATGCGCAAACCAGCTTTGTAAAATGATATATGAATCATTTTTATTTTACCATATATCATTTTACAAAACTGTTTAGCGCATGTGTGTGTGCTATGTCAGCCTCAACAGCAGTCATCAGAGGAGGAATCATTTCATCATAACTAATCATTTCCTTCTCTGTACGGCTGTGATATTTCACGTAGTGATATAGCGCAAAGGTTGTACGTCACGCATCACACACATGTCCAGCGTCGGCCAATAGTGAGTAGGGCTGGGCGATAAATCGCACGATATTGTTATGCGCATCTCGTCAGTAAAGCCGGTTCCTTGATTAGTAGTAAATCGCCTTCACCTGCTTTCAGATGGAGCGGCATTTACTACAAAGAGCCGTAGTTAAGTGACAAGCTGAGCCATATCGCACTAATATCGCGGACGTATCGCCAGCGATATTTAATGCGATATGGCTCAGCTTGTCAGTTAACTACGGCTCTTTGTACACAGCAAAAACTCCAGTGTTAAATGAACACACCTGGGAGTGTGTGAGTCCACACTCAAGAGTGTTAAAGTTAATGAGATAATTAAGTGATTAATTGAGTGATGATTGAGCATTATTGAAGACACCTAAAGCAGAATCACTGAAGTAGAAAATCTAAAATTGTAAGCCACCGTTATGGCGATCATTGTTTGCTTTAGTTGGGCTCTTGAACTACCAGTTGAACAAAGAAAAAAAAAGCATCTAATGATGTTGGTTATATTATGACAATCATCATTTGAACTTCATGTTTGTGATTCATGCTGTTGGTTACAGCATAACTCTAATTCTGTATAAATATCCAGAATTTTAGATACAATATGAAGGATTTCTTAAATGTTGTTTTAAAAAAAAATAATTCTTTTAGGCACACACAGACGTCAAGATTCAGTCAATGCATCTCAACAATGGTGACGAGCAGAATATTCAATTAGGGAAAAGTAAATTACATAGACAATTCAGATCATAATTTATTCATACCGCAATGCATGATGGGAGTCATTAATGAGTTGTGATTGGTGGCAGCCACTGCAATATGCATTATTATTGTCACCACTGTTGAGATTCACAGGCTGATTATTGATGTCCGTGTTTCTAAATAAATTCTTTTGAAAGTGTTTTTATAAGAATGATGTTTATTAAAAATTTTGGATTATAAGAAAAATACTGATAATCATATGCTGTAGAATCACAAAACTGTTACTAACAAGATAAACCAAACTATTTCAAAAAGCTTCATTTTTCAGATTACAGCATGATTATGCCAAAACATAATCAACACAATCAGATCACAATTTTCTTTGTTCATTTAACTGTTATAAATCAATAACAACAAACAAACAAAAGAAAAATATGAAAGTATAAGGGTCAAGAGTCCAACTAAAGCAAACACTGATCGCCATAACGGTGGCTTACAATTTGTGATTTTCTCCTTCAGTGATTCTGCTTGTTAACATCAGGTGTCTTCAATAATGCTCAATCAGCACTAAATTAATCACTTAATTATCTCATTACCTTTAACACTCTTGAGTGTTAATTTATCACTCATATCTGCATCATATCTTCCATCTGAAAGCAGGTGAAGGCGATTTACTACTAATCAAGGAACCGGCTTTACTGAAGAGATGCGCATAACAATCGCATGCGATATATATCGCCCAGCCCTAATAGTGAGCCTACGTGTGATGTACAACACAGAAGCTTTGCGCAATATCACTACGTGAAATCTCGAGCCCACAGAGAAGGAAATGAAGAGTTGAATAAAGTCGTTATTTTTTTTATTTTTTTTTGCGCACAGAAAGTATTCTCGTCGCTTGATAAACTTAAGGTTGAGCCACTGTAGTCACTCGGACTATTTTAACAATGTCTTTCATAACTTTTGGGCCGGCCAGTTTCGATCCCTTAAGAAGCCTATGGAGGAGTGATCCAGCTCTCAGATTTAATCACAAATATCTTAATTTGTGTTCCGAAGATGAACGAAAGTCTTACGGGGTTGAACAACATGAGGGAGAGTCATTACTGACAGAATGTTCATTTTTGGGTGAACTATCCCTTTAAAGTGAATTTCGTTTTGTATAAATTGTATCTTAATTTTAATATTTTTTTATCAACCAATTGCCTGGATTTAAGATAGTAAGAAGCAAATATAGCAGACAATATAATCATGACATGGAGGCGCCGGCGCGGTCACTTGCATTGCGCGTGAACTGGAGCATCTCATCATAAATTAACCGAAACTCAGCGTATGCCTCACAGATATGAGAAATATATATATACACTCACCGGCCACTTTATTAGGTACACCTGTCCAACTGCTCGTTAACACTTAATTTCTAAGCAGCCAATCACATGGCGGCAACTCAGTGCATTTAGGCATGTAGACATGGTCAAGACAATCTCCTGCAGTTCAAACCGAGCATCAGTATGGGGAAGAAAGGTGATTTGAGTGACTTTGAACGTGGCATGATTGTTGGTGCCAGAAGGGCTGGTCTGAGTATTTCAGAAACTGCTAATCTACTGGGATTTTCACGCACAACCATCTCTAGGGTTTACAGAGAATGGTCCGAAAAAGAAAAAACATCCAGTGAGCGGCAGTTCTGTGGGCGGAAATGCCTTGTTGATGCCAGAGGTCAGAGGAGAATGGCCAGACTGGTTCGAGCTGATAGAAGGGCAACAGTGACTGAAATAACCACTCGTTACAACCGAGGTATGCAGCAAAGCATTTGTGAAGCCACAACACGCACAACCTTGAGGCGGATGGGCTACAACAGCAGAAGACTCCACCGGGTACCACTCATCTCCACTACAAATAGGAAAAAGAGGCTACAATTTGCAAGAGCTCACCAAAATTGAACAGTTGAAGACTGGAAAAATGTTGCCTGGTCTGATGAGTCTCGATTTCTGTTGAGACATTCAGATGTTAGAGTCAGAATTTGGCGTAAACAGAATGAGAACATGGATCCATCATGCCTTGTTACCACTGTGCAGGCTGGTGGTGGTGGTGTAATGGTGTGGGGGATGTTTTCCTGGCACACTTTAGGCCCCTTAGTGCCAATTGGGCATCGTTTAAATGCCACGGCCTACCTGAGCATTGTTTCTGACCATGTCCATCCCTTTATGGCCACCATGTACCCATCCTCTGATGGCTACTTCCACCATGTCACAAAGCTCTAATCATTTCAAATTGGTTTCTTGAACATGACAATGAGTTCACTGTACTAAAATGGCCTCCACAGTCACCAGATCTCAACCCAATAGAGCATCTTTGGGATGTGGTGGAACGGGAGATTCGCATCATGGATGTGCAGCCGACAAATCTGCGGCAACTGTGTGATGCCATCATGTCAATATGGACCAAACTCCCTGAGGAATGCTTCCAGCACCTTGTTGAATCTATGCCACGAAGAATTAAGGCAGTTCTGAAGGCAAAAGGGGGTCCAACCCGTTACTAGCATGGGGTACCTAATAAAGTGGCCGGTGAGTGTATATATATATAGAAAGCTTGAAATGTCTTTAAACGAAACAATTCAAAACGAAAAGAAATAGGCTATACTCTCTGATTATGTGATCCATTATGTGCATTTCTCTCTGTGGGCGTTCACGGAGATGGCGATCGCTGTCAAATCTGTCAAATGAGGAGATCGCTGTCAAATCTGTCCCTGGGGAAAGTAACGTTGCGCCGAATTGAAAAATGAACTACGTTTCGTTACCAAATTTTCAGTAGTAGCGCGTTACACTACTTTTTACCCGAAAAAGTAGTTGCGTTACTGTAACGCATTACACACAACACTGGTTGCATGTAATCATAAAATACAGCATATTAAAAAAAAGGTGTTTACTGTGAGAAACGGACCTCGGGTTCGGTTCGGGCTTTAAATATAACCGTAATGGTCGGGTCAGGTCGGGTTAAATGATTTGGGGTACGGGCCGGGTTCGGGCTTCAGTGCAGACCTCATGTGTGTCGTGATTGGCCACTTACTTTTGAGGGGCGTGGCCTTCTTGCTGAAGCTGAGCTTGGCCTGTTTGAGCTTCTGCCGCGTGTCCTTCGCTCCCTCCTCGTCCTCCTCAGGGACGCCTGCGGGCGGATCCGGCTCGGGTTCGGGCTCCGGTTCGGATTCGGGCTCCGGCTCGCGCAGGTGTTGGCTAC